CTAGATCGCCATGACAAGCAGCGTAAATAGCTGAATGATTCTGGTCAAACTCTCGGGCATGATCCTTGCAGTTGTGTACGCATAACTATCTATCTATCTATCTATATATATATATGTATGTATGTGTGTGTGTATGTATGTATGTATGTATGTATGTATGTATGTATGTATGTATGTGTACATACACATGCGCACATCGACGTGTATGCTGGTCCTGTTTGGGATGTTACACACGGCCTTTGTGGGATTTGTTTACAATAGGGTCCGTTTCTCGGGCCCCTCAAAAGAGTCCATCTCTATCTGCACATGGCTTCGAAAAGTACCCTGATTGGAACACTCCTTGGCTGTTGGGTTTCTAGTGTGGTCTTGATGAGTGTATATCGGGCTCCTTGGAAACGTTTCTGCTTAAGGCGGCTCTTCCTTGCAAAAGCCTTGCTTCTCATAGCTCTCAATATACACGTCCAAGTTACGATAGGCATTTTCACACAAGTGCAAAGTCGTCACTAGATTTGCGATAGGGGTGTTTGGTCTTGTGGCGCACGCCTATATACTTTAATGCTGTAGAGTTACGGGTCCGGGTTTGGGCGGTCTTGGTTTGGAGGCTCATGGTTCTGATCTTACAGTGGGTTTCCCACCACAAAGCCCAGAAGTTTGTGAGGGTTCTGGAGTCTGTTTGTTTGTTTGTGTCTGCGTTGTTGCATAAGGTGAAGCAATGCGGGGACGCTGGAAGCCAGATCATCCTGAATCCCTCACTCTGCACGGCCGTTTAAAGGTTTAGGGTTGTGAAATGCCTTGTATTCTGTACGCTGGTTGAAGATTCCGTGTTGACCTCCATAGACCATAGATAAGAAGCGTGTATGCAGTGCTTTGTATAGGTCCATAGATGCACAAGCAAAACACAGCACCTGAATTCAATCATACCTACCGCAGGCGCCTTGAGATCAAGTCCGAAATGAGCTTTTGTTTTCCGTGCAGTAACTCCGGAAGCCGGCATTCGTTCCAAAGGGGTTTAGGGCCTAAACGTAATATGAAAATTCAACCCAGAATCCCAGTCTGATTTGGCCAGCAAACTAAAGCACACACAAACACCCCCTAAACCCTAAACCCTAAATCCTCACCCCAAGATCTGGAGCCTAATTCCAAAACCCGAGCCCGAGGGTTTCGAGAATTTGGGGGTGTCCCGACCCAAAAGATCGTGTTTGCACGCCTGGCGTTCAGCGATCCCACCACCCCTGACTACCCATATCTCAACCTTATCGGGTTTCAGTTCCTGGCTGGAAGCGGAGCTGGAAGAACGCTAGTTTAAGATTTCGGGCTTTACACTTTCGCGGGAGGCCGATACCGAAGGCCTCCACAGCCCGGGGGAGCGTCGGAGCCCTTACGACGCCCGGCCAAATTGGGACTTAGGGTTAGTGCTTAGGCTCTAGGGCCTCTGGCTGTAGGTGGTAGGGTTTTGAGTCAGTTTATCGTTTGCAAAACTTAGAGTTCTGCGGGGTAGGGCTTAGGCTTTAGAATCCTCGGATTTTTGCGGGTTCAGTAAGGTCTGGGCTTTCGGGTTCACAGTCGATGGTGCGTGCTCTTGGAGCCAGTTCGGTTTCTAGATATCCACAGTATAGACCATAGGAGTTCCATTGTGCAGGGGCTATGCTACTCAGGACTTCCGTGGTTCAGCTGCCTTCGTGAGGTCGCATGTTATGATGTAGGGAGTTTAAGGGCTTCAGGGGGCTCGGCTCAGGCATCAGTCCCAGAGCATGCATTGGATACAATGATGGATACAATGACAGAGCTAAGTCGCATAATTCTTCTTGGATGCCACCCCAAAATGGGGGGAAACATCACCGAGCGTCTATTGGGGATTCGTGATCGCAGTGATTCGGGATAGTTCAGGTTAAGTTGCGGTTACAGCTGATTACATGGGGAATCTTGTTGTAGTAGTGTAGCAAGAACAGCAGGTCAGGGCAACAGATGCAGCAGTAGCTGTTCTATTTTCGCTGTCATCCAGGACTATGTAGCAATCACTTTTTATTGTCGTGTCCATGTGCAGTAGAGGCCTGAAGTTAATGGCTACGGGCCCAAGTCTTTGGGCCCAGGTCTTTTGCGGATTTGGCCTTATTGACAATCACCGTCCGGTTCCATGTAGGACAACCGAGGAGACAACAGGTCACGATACCTAGTAGCTTTTCTGATAGCTGTTCTACTGCCGTAGTGGTCTCGGACACCCTGATCGGTGCCGGACACACACACTGAAAAAGGTTGGTTTGGATGTGCTGTGATATGTTTGTCTTCAGTGTGTGCCTGTGTTGGCGGGTTTTAATGTGTCAAGATTCCACAGACGTGTGTCTTGCGCGGGTGCTTCTCAAATCGAGCGCCTACATGGGGAATGTTTGGCTGGGTTGCGCTGTGATGCCACTGATATTTGTCTTGCGTGTGTGCTTGTGAAATCAAGCATCTACATTGCGGAATAGCTCGTTCTGATGTTTTATGCCCACGGTTGTGTGTATTGTGCGGTTGCTTCTCAAATTGAGCGTCTACATAGGGAATGATTGTTTTGGTTGTGCTGTGATTCCACGGATGCTTTTCTGGTGTGCGTGCTGGTGAAATCGAATGTCCACATGGGGAGTAGTTGGTCCTGCATGGTATGTTATGATTCCACCGACGTGTGTCTTGCGCGCGCGCTTCTCAACTCGAGCGTCTACATGGGAATGGCTGGCTTGGTGGTGCTGTGAGCGTGTACTTGGGGAATGCTAGTTCTGCTGTGTTATGATTCCACCGATGTGTGTCCTGAGCAGGTGCTTCTCAATTCGAGCGTCTGCATGGGGCATGGCCTGATTACCACGTGTTTTAAATTTGTCCAGTAGAATGCAACCTTGCTGATGCGGCGTCTACATGGGGGAAAGCCATGTTGATGTGACCATGATGTGACCTCATCGCATGGCGCGCGTCCCCATAGACAGGTGTGTTCCAGCAAAACGTGATGGGACTAAAGGCTCCCGCTGTACTAAGCCGATGTTGGGTTGAAGTAATGTTTGACTGCGACGTTCTTCAAGAAATTGCCCGGGACCGCATCGCTCTTGGACCCCACTTCAAGTATAGTCAAGTTGCAAAACTCATGCATGAACATGTTTGGGTCTGGCGCCACGGCGCGCAGACATGCACCGAAGGCCATACAGGTAGCAAAAAACAGATCCAAATCCTGAACCTTGACCATTGAGCGTGAATGCTGTACTGTAGGGGGTTGGGCAAAGCTGACGTCGGATTCCGATTAACAACCCGCCCCTCACGTACTCAAGGTCGGACATCAAACAAGGTTCAGGATTTCCAGGTCAGGGTGAGGTTCCTTCCTGCACCTCCCTAATGAATTGCAGGAGTGGTAATAATGAGCTATAGCAATAACGGGAATAATAGCAATAGCACTCGTTTTTTTTACGAGGATGGAGGCTCGCAGTCAGCAGCAATGACATTCATTTCAATCTTAGCTGTGCGGGAGTTGAATATATATATATATATATATGCCGAGGGAACCTGTGTTCAGCTACGTCCTAACCCGGGGATTTGAAGGGAATCGGGAGGTTTAACGGACTTGCTTATGAGAATGTTTGTAGACCCGGGTGGGCCATCTAACAATGGGGGTATGTTAATCGGTCACCCGCATCATTTTGGGATCCCGCCCAAACCCATTTCTATGCATTGAGGCCCCTGCGAAAACTTACGAAAACTCGATAACAAGGAAAACATTTGGACAACTTTGATCTACTGTTGCAAGGCCCCTAGGCCTTAGATTCCACGATTAGTAGCGAGGATCATTATTACTATTATTCCGAGATTTATTCTCAATGTTATTATTCTGAATCTTATCAATACTTTCAGAAATTCCAGCCTCTGTGTGAGCCTCTGTGTGACCGCCTGATGCAGGAAGAAGGCTGGCCCCTCCGACGATGCGTCTGCCAAGGCCTTCCCCTTCCCGGTGCTTTGGGGGCCTCTGGGCCAAACCCCCAAACTGCGCAAATAGTAGCAAGTGATAAACCCACCGTAGGCCCGAAACACCAATCCAAAAATCCAAACTCGAAGCTCAACGGCCTAACCCAACACCGTAAACACTCGAAATCCAAAACCGCCCACGCCTCAAACCTGGAACGGGGCTGTCGACTCGCTGCAGTCTCATTTTCTGCAGTGTTCTCCAGCGAAGCCGGCCGGGGCTTGCGCTTAGCTGCAGACACACAGATCTGATCAGCGCAGACCGCCCGCTTGAGGCTGGAAAAGCAGGAGGGAGGCCTTGGACAGTCCGAGAACCTAAACCCTAAACCCTAAACCCTAAATCCTTATCTAAACACACCCTAAATGCTCCCCAGTTTTAAAGAGTCCCGTATCAAAACAAAGGCATGAACTCTGAGTAGTAAAGTGCATAACCTCTAGACGTCTTTTCATAATTAGTGTGATCCTTACGCATCCGCAATACAATTTTAACTTGGACTTCCCTTGAATCAACACTGAACCGTTAGGAATTTCTCTGTCAGGGCTCCGGCAAAGGCAGCGCCAATGGCGCACCGGCTTCCATCAAGTGCCAGCCTGAGCAGTTCTGTGCGATGGAAACGCGGCGTATAAATCCTTATACAACCCTTATGCATATTCAGAAAACCTGAACCTGAACCCTAAACCCTAAACCCTAAACCTAAACCTGAAAAGATCTTTATATGCCCTCCTGAACCGTGCATGAAGCCCTGAACGCCCTGACCCAGGCGGCCGGCCGAGCCACCAGGACCTCCTGCCGCCAAGCGCGTCCGACCCCCAAGCAGGGACGGCGGGACTGTAGGGTTTAGGGTTTAAGTTCGAGGAGGGTATGGGGGTTTCGGTAAAAGGAAAGGAAAGGTTTTGTGGCTTGAGGTCTTGATTAGGATATTTGGGGGTTGTAGGGTGGAGGGTATAAGGTTTGGGGCTAAAAATTACGACCCTTGGTCCACATTCTCACGACTTGAGAAGAGGGAGGTTTTGAGGTTTGAGGATTGAAATAAGGTTTGGAATGTAGGCGTTGGAGTTGAAAGTCTGTCGCTCGAAGTGGGTATATTCCCGCGATGAGGAGCCACAACTGTATGTCACACTGACTTTGAGAAGGAAAAACACAGCAATGACGTCGATAGGTTTTAGGTCTCAGGTTTAGGGGTGTTGGGGCTTCGGGCTTTTACGGGGGCATGTGAGGGTTTGAGGGCTGGTCACTAGCCATGGCCTGAAGCCGCTTCACCTAGGTTCGGGCGCCGCTCGTTAGTAGTTACCATCAGGGATTAGGGTTTAGAGTTTAGGGTTTAGGGTTTAGGGCTTAGATGGCCTTTGAATATTTGGTTGAGGTTTTTTGTCCATGTTCCTATGATGTCACTCTCAAAGTCTTAGTGGGTGGAGCCAAACCCAACCCTGCAAACGGCATCCTAAAACCCTGAGCAACAGCCCTGCACCACTAAGATCAGAAAACGCTCTCCAGCACCCCTAAACGTAGGGTTCAGGGTTCAGGGTTTAGGGTTTAGGGTTTAGGGTCAACAAGCCGAAACCTCATAATACCCCAACAACCCGATTCAAGCGTCCCACGAGCAGCCCCAAATCCAAGCCCGTCGCCTCATTTTCGGTTGCTCGGTCCAGGCAAAAATCTGGGATGACGACGGCGGCACAGCCAGGTGGCCGTTGTATTCGGGATTCGAGCTTGGGATGTAGGATCTTGAATTTAGTTTTAGGGATGGCGGATTTTGGGAATATGGGAGGTTCGAAATTTGCTGGGCATGACCGGAGCACATGCCATGCGAACCCAGTGAAGATGTTACGCCCCACTTGTTCGCCACGTGACAGCATGTCGTTGCATCCTCTAAACCCGACACCCTATAAACCCCAAACCCTAAACCCTAAACCCTAAACCCTAAACCCCAAACCCGCCGTGCAGGCCAACGCCCAAGGTCCCCGCCATTCCGAAAGCGATGCCTCAACAGTCGGGGCCTCAAATTATAAGACCAGGGTCTTGGGCATATATGACACTTGCTTTGATTATAATAGGGAACCCTGAGAAATAACATGGCACCTAAACCCTCAACCCTAAACCCTAAACCCTAAAAGATAATATGGACTAACAAAGGTCATTATTCAGGCCACGGTTTACCGAGCCCTTATAGAACCCTTCTAGCAGGCCCCTCCCGTAAACCCGTAAACCCGAGCCTTTAAATCCTAAGCCCTGAACCCTGGTGTTGACGCACTACAGGTGTGTCACTATTCTGGCAGGGGGACGACCAGTGCCTGCCCTAGTGGGCTCTCCACAGCTTCTGCGGAAAAAGGCCTTCAAAAAAAAGCAGAACCAAGCCCCTAAACCCTGAAGTATCTCAGCAGCTGGGGCTCTGGGAATGAAGTGTCCAGGGAGCTGAAGACTCCAGCGCTCCAAATCCGAACAGATCACTTTCTGTGCAGTTAGAATGTTAGTTGGATTGTATGTCTCATTCTTCGTAGTACTACTGCACTACTACTACTACTACTACTACTACTACTACTACTAGTACTACTAGTACTACTACTACTACTACGACTACTACTCCTCCTGCTGCTGCTGCTGCTGCTGCTGCT